TATTATGAGTCGCAGACTTGCAGTACGTGCATATGCATATACTCAGACAGTATGCCCATTTTGAATTGAACCGGATCCGGCCACCCGACGGCAGAACTGGCTCGGGGTTTAACTCGCGGCCGCACTGCGCGTTGATGACACAAGTCCGCGCGACCCGCACGGGCATAGCTACCGGGGTATCCCCGCGATGGGCTCGGAAAGCTAGCGCCGTTACACTACTCGAGCTCAGAGAAGGGCCGGGGAAGCTCAAACGAGCTGGGAAGAAGCTCGGAGGTGAGAGGCGGAAGTTCAAACCCGCCAATGTGCTATTGTTGTGGCAAACTGGGCCACATGAAGGCAAAGTGAAGGCTGCGCGATTCCGGGTGTCGCAAGTGTGGCAAGAGGGGCCACACAGAAAACGGTGTGTAGGCAGAGCGCGCGCGCAAGTGGCCGCGCAGAGAGGAGAGAGTTTGCGGGGGATGCAAACGCAATAGCCTTTACGGCGTGAGGTGATGACGGGGATGTGCGCAATGGGGTGTGGACTGTCGATTCGGGCAGCACCCAGCATGTCACGGCCGATCGGAGCCAATTCACGAGCTACAAAGAGCTTGTGCGTGACGAAAAGATCATGGGGATCTGTGGTGAGTCTCTGTTTGCAGTGGGCATTGGAGAAGTGAAGCTTAAAGGTAAGACCCCGAGTTGTGAGTACGGTAACCTTGAGGGAGGTCCGGCACGCTCCGAGGGCACAAGCGAGTTAGTTCTCGCTAACTAGAGCGACTGACGCGAGAGCACGAGTCGTGCTCGAGGGGAGAACTGCGCAGATCGAGACGGACAATGTGGTCCGTATGGAGGCAGTCAAGCGTGGAGGACTGTAGGAGATTGAGACCGTGAGGAAGCAGAGAGCATTCCTGGCGAGGGGTCCTATCAAGGTGGGCCAATTGTGGAGACTGTGCGCGAGATTTTAAAGGTGTTTGAGGAGATCGGTGGAAGGCAAGGAGAGCCCAAAGACGGCGGTAGAGAGCAAGCCCGCCGGTGTGTAACAGGCAACGAGAAGCCTGTAGTGGAGTCCCAGGAGTTGGGAAGATATCCCGCGAGAGTGCGACGGGAGCCCGCAGAGTGGTATCGGGCAAATGTGGAAGCAGCAACGGACGCCGTGGGAGTCGAAGAGCCAGAGCACGGAGTGGAGAAGACGTCGCCGGAGAATAGCGACGATGGCGACAATGGAGGCGTGTGGGTGACGCCAAAGGCGAAGAAGACAACCCGCAAGAGGAGCGTGACGAGTTAGAGGCTAGAGTAATTCGTGTGAGTGGGAGTGTTAGAATTCGGTGATTATAGTCAGCCGAAGTATTGTGATTAGGGTTTGGCCCGAGTTAGGGTTTGAACTAGTGAGCGCCATGTGCGTGTACGGCGGTTGGACGGTTAAATCGTTGGGCGGTTTGAAGGTTAGGCGGTTGAGAGCGGCCGTCAGTTGGAGCCGTAGATGAGCATATTGGAGGCTAAGATTGAGTGTGACTGTGAGCTAGGCTAGTGAGCCTAGTAGGCTAGTGAGCCTAGTGGAACGGGAGAGACCCGTAGGACTTATGGTGGTGGAAACCACTATTGTGATCGTGTTGCCCGGCACCCATGCTCATCACTCATTGATAACAACCATGCATCCTAAGAGAAACACACGAAGCGCCTCAAAAGCGGCTTCCTTCTCTCCACAAATCTCTCCTAGAATGATGTATCACAATTGTGTTTCTCACCACTCCTGTCTCACGGCTCTCTCCCGTTCCACTAGGCTCACTAACCTAGGTCACACACTACTAGGCTCACTAGCCTAGCTCACAGTCACACTCAATCTTAGCCTTCGATATCGTCATCTTCGGCCGCGTTTACACTAACGGCCGCTCTCAACCGCCCAACCTCCGTTAGAACTTAGTTTCGAGGAAGTTCAAGAAGTGCAAGAGCGGGTGAGGAATTGCGTAAGTCTTTAATGTGTGGGGATTGTGTCAAGATTCGGGCATTTGTGCGCGACCTCTTGAGTGACGTCGACAGGAGTTCGACAATAACCGGCAATTAGCGGTCGGCGGTTCAATGTGCGGAAGTTACAACGTACACCCGAATGACTATTGAGGTAAGCGCCGTAGATTCGAGTAGCTTCGATAATAGCCGTAGATATTCACCTTTGCGCGAAACTTTTCGACTTGCTTATGAGCGGACAATTGAGCCTCATACTAGATACAGACCTACACTCGAAGTGTGACTACTTGAGTGAGTCCAGCAAAGCACACGGACTGCATGCACGGCTAGAGCCCGGTGTGCTACATAGCTTTTGCGCCACAAAGTTTCGAACTGTTGATATACATTGTGTGCATATGAATGGTTCGATCAATTACTACCAACCACGCATGTTTTCACATCCTGCAAGACGTAGCATCCCCCAAAAAACGTCTCTCAAATGCGCGCAACGATCGAATTTCAAAGGCGGATGCACCAAGGCGTGTGCCGCCTCCAGAATCGAAAATCGAATAGATGGAACCTTATTATGAGGAAACTTTAAGAAGAAGTTACATCGTGATTCCGGCTTGGAAGGTCCTTATGTCTTTCAAGGCTTCCACGACGAAGGCAGCCAGGTGGCCATCATCAAAGACTATAATGGCACCACGTGGCCATCACACATAACTCAAATTCACCCCATGTTGGCCACGGGCCGCGAAGGCGAGTGATCTTTCGGATTGAAATCGAATCGGGAGCGGTTGTGGCTTCAATCGGTGGCCCAACCCATCTCAGCAAAAAATCAGGAAAAAGAATCAAGGAGTGCAATCCATTTGCAGAAACGAATTATATATGCAGCTTTGATAACACCGACAAGATAGACACGTCATAAGCAAGCCCTTCAAGCTTTTATAAAAGCACAATCGCACGGGTTATTGTGACTTATAAACTCACGGCCAGCCTTACTCTTCTGAACTTTCGGCATCCTTCGAAACTACTGACGTCCGAATCTCGTTGGACGTGATTTTGATGATCTCGGGACGTCCGATTGGGAATAAGAGCGTAATATTATTAGAAAGTGATAGCCACCTCTGCATGCAGAACTCGATCATTGCTGCATCAGAAGAACGAGACCAGCAATCAGACTACTTCCACACCATACGCTTCGCGATCCCGTCGAACCTGCAGTGCAGTCGGATCAATGACCGCATTGTCTGTCAAATCGCCATACCAATTACAATGCTACTAGAGTGAACCGGAAATATCACAAGAGCTACAGCAATTCCACACTAAAACGATGAATCATTTGGCCACCGGTACTCATACGCAAATTGAAATTCTTGCCAAGAAACAAAGTTTCTATCGCCGAACAATCAATTGTGAACATGACAGCCTCAGCAGTTGGCACCGTATCGAGGTGACCAAAATCAAAGCCGGAGACCAAGTTCCAAGTAACGTTTTCACAATGCTTACCGTTCCCTTTATTCCACCAGAAGCCTTAGCTCGCCTAGCCCAAGGAAAACAAAACGAAGCTCCTATCGTGAGTGAAAATATGCGAATTCTCCTAAGCATTTAGTGTCCCGCCTTGATGGGCCTCTGTGCTCTCCACCGCAAAGAGCAGGTTCTCATTCTCGGCTTGGACCAGCAGCTCTTCGAGCAGCATAGGCCGTACTTGTGCATCTCGGAGTGGCTATCTACCGGAGTGTTCTACAGAAAAGTGGTCGAAGAAGTAGGCGGTTGGCTACCTACAGTTCAATGGCCAAGTGGGCAACCGCTTAACGGAAACGACATGCGAAGGGTTCTGACCTTTTCCACGGTTTCCACTACAACCGACCCTTGTATAGGTGCAAAAGCGTTTGAGCCAGCTCATTGTTGCCCTGTACGCTGGGTTCCTTGTTGACCATAACTCGAAGCCGCCCGCTAGAATTAAATCGGGCAGAAGGCGCAACGTCCATAAATTCCTCATGCTGCTTGGCAGTAGGATGGGGCAGATTGGTGGCATCAGCAATGACGATCTGATGGGCCGGACTCGTATCGCGGGTACGATCCTGGGATCCACCACAAACACGGGGGGGCATCGACCCAGCAATTTGGCCGCTGGTTGAGCAGCTTGCTACTACAGTCACGCGTCCCGCTGTTGAGATCTAGGCTTGAGCATAGGGTAGTGACACCCTAATGACTTAGTATAATTTGCCGTAGATCTCGCTCGACCGGACTCGGGTAGTCGCCTGGAGTCAAATTCGGTCAAGATAAAATCGGGGCAATCAAGTGCCGTCGAAATTTGCAGTCGCGAATTTCAGAACGCAACCTGGGCACAATGTGCCGGCAATATTAGTCCTCGGTTATGCACAGACATAGGGCTCGGACTCAGTCGAGTCTTAGCCTGGATTTGAACTTGCGAACTCGATATGACTCGGCGGATTGCCTTGTATTGGTACCTCACTTCTAGTAATTGTGCTTCCTCTTGAAAGGCGCTCAAGGCGCGTTTATTTCAACAGGTTATGGGCCCACGACGCTAGAGAGTGAGGGAGAGAGTAGTAAGCCTTTGCTAACAAAGACAATTCTAGGTTGGTGAAAGGTATTCCAGCGGGGGCTAAGTAGGAGTGCTTTGAGCAATTTCCCTGCGACGCCTGTGAAAATACCCACAAACCTTTCTCGGCACAAAGGAGTGCCCAGCCCAAGAAGCGTTGTTTGACTAGCTGTAAAGATGGCTGAAGGACTCAAGGTATCCATTGAGAAGTTGGATGTGGATAACTATACGACGTGGTCGCAGCAGATGAAGTTTCTGCTGGTCCACAAGAAGCTCTGGAAGGGAGTGGCCGATCCCGCAGGGGATGCGGATAGAACCGAGGAGGCAAAGGCTGTGATAAGTCTAAACGTGCGGTCCCAGCACCTAGGGACGGTAACCGCTGCGGCGAACGCTAAGGTTGCGTGGGATGCATTGGAGGCGATCTACAAATGTGACGGTTGGACAGGGTTTACACGCTGCCTGTCTACTTCACATGTGCGGAAACCATGCGAAGCTTTTCAGCACGCCTTGGGATCACCTCAGCAAGAGCGCCTCTCAGAAAAATTGCGTCTTCTTGCCTTCTTCCCAAAGACTGATTAGTTAGGACTCACGAAGAGGCTCCATATTCAGTCAAAGAGTCTCGAGACTCGCACCTCGCAAGGCACTTGCTTCTTTACGCTTGAT